AACACATTATATCCATTAATTAATTCACTGTATTTAATCTTATATATGACTAGTACTTGCCTTTGAAGAAATAAAAGAGCCATTCTCTTCTATGTGAGACAAAGAGAAAATACTTCTACAGCAAGTGACCGCCATACTTGTATTAAAAATGATTAGCATCTTTTCCTGAACTTGATGCTCAATTAGTAACGGGTTTCTTTAATAACAGACTACTCAGTTTTTAATCGGTTAAACTAACTGGTTAGTCGATGGACTTTTCTGCCCTGTTCAAAATGATGCTGTCACAGAAGCCTTGTTGTAGGCCTTCGAGGTGACTTCTTTCAAAAGTCTAACTATGGTTTTTTTGTGAATTTTTAGGGCAGGCCACCTCCCCTTGGGGTAAGTACTTTACATATATGTCTCTGCCAATATCGTTTAGCCTTATTAAATAAACACTGAAATGACTTATTAACACAGGGCCTGCTTCTGCTGCATTTATAAACCCATTGTACAGACTCTTTGTCTTTTCTCCCAGCTTTGTGAGGGACTGGAGAGTTAGACTCCTCTAATGCTGTGGTGGCCAGGGTTGCCACTGGCCAGCTGGGGGTTGGTCGGGTCAGGGGATCCCCTGATTTCAGGGGGGTTCCAATCTGCCACCAGCCAGCTGACCAGCGGGGATGCCACACCCCTGAACAGCAGTGTCCTGCGGGGACGCCGCTGGCACAATGACGTCGCCAGTAGTGACATTATCATGCTGGGGCCATCGTGCAGCAACGCACCTAGCATTCGGGGGGGGGGGGGGGGGGTATAAAACCCAAAAAAATTTTTAAAAAATTCTACCCCAAATGCTAAAGCATCATTGTGCGATGCCCCTAGCATGATGATGTCACTACTGGTGACATCATCATGCCACACACACTTTGCAAGCATGGCAGAAAAATCCAAACAAAAAAAGGACCCAGCCCCCCCCCCCCCCCGCTGCAGGTAAGAAGAGACCTGGCAACCCTAGTAGTTGCTCATGTAGCAGTTTGTGGGAGGACTACACCCTGCCACTGCCGCATTAGCCAAATGCGATTTCCCTGCTTCCTCCCTCCACTGCAGCTGAAAATGCCCTCTGAGATGTTGCCCCAGGAGAACCTCACCCTCAGAAAAGCATGGAGGCGCCAGAAGTCTGCAGCAGATAGGGTTGCCAGGTGCACTCACCTGGCTGGCAGGGGGCTCCCAGCCCACTCCCGGGAGACAAAGTGGTTTCGGGCCACTTCCAGTAAAACCGGAAGTGCTTGCCCCAATGTGCTGCCATCTCCCAGAAGTGACATAGGCACGTCAGGGACATCTGGGGGCGACACTCTGGTATTTGGGCAAACTCTATGGTAAATTTGGCTTGCCCCCAGAAGTCCCCGATGTGCCTACATCACTTCTGGGTTTTACTGGAAGTGGCCCAAGAAACCCCATTTGCGGTGGGATTTCCCCAGCTGGCCAGTGGCAGGGAAGCACCCCCCAAAAGCCGGGGTTCCCCCACCCCTGACAGGGGTCTGGGAACCCTAGCAAAAGGAGACAGGAAATTAAAATCCCTCCCTTTCCATTAGTGGAAATTTTCCACAGGATCCAATCCAGTAACTGAAACTCAAGCACATTCAGCAACCTTTTCCACCTTAACAGGCAATTGTGGTGGGAATGAAATGGAAATCACAGCCATTTTGAATCCACGCAGGTGTCCTTCACAAGCATGCGCACTAGAATAAAAATGAATGTACTTCCAACTAAGAACTTTAAGCAGTTCACAGTGGGAAGTAAGCTCATTCACTTTTATAAACTTTTAAGTGTGTTAACTGTGCTTAGAATTGCACTGCTAATTTCTAGATATTCTGGGCAGGGGGGCTGAAAGCAGAAAGCCTCATGTGAATAAGGGCATGACTGTTCAAAGGCCTCCCCAAAAGACAAAGCACAGAGCAACTACTGCAAGCCATACGAACTAGTCACACACGAAACACATGCAGCTGACTTATACTGAATCGGGCCATAAGTCCATCCAGGTCAGTATTGTCTGTTCGGACTGGCAGCGGCTCTCCAGGGTCTCAGACAGAGGGCTTGCACATCACCTACTGCCTGGTCCTTTCAGCTGGTGATGCCAGGGGTTGAACCTACTACATGATGCTCTGCCACTGAGCCACAGCCCCTCCCCAATAGGAACTGGGTCTGGTAAATAATGCCATTTAAAACATGCTATTTTGTTCAGTACCTAAGCTTCATATTAATAGAATATTACTTCCCTTGACAGAAATAACATCCCAGCTGAAGAACCTTCTCTCAGTACGTATTCAGTGTTTTTTACTTTTACAAACTCCATTTTCACCTTTTTTTAAAAAAGCTGCTGTTTACTGCATGAGTTATGAAATGCCTTGGCCTGTCTAATTTTGGTAACAAGTCAGGCTAGTAATTTATTCAGTGTTCCATTTTTAAACACGCACTCCAGCTTCCTGGTCTAAATACCTTCAGAAATGCAGGGCAGCTGAAGCAAAAACAGTTTAAGGATGCAGGTCCTAGGCAAACTGGGAGTAGTGTCATTGACCAGTACACAGTAAAAGAAGTAAATCCCCAAACTTAAAACATTTCTATTCCCTATACAGGAATATAATATTTGTAAAAGACATAAATAAACCACTAATAACCTAATGTCACTGAAGCCCCTGGGACTGCACTTTCACATAAACATACATAAAATTGGGCTATGTGTAGGCAGTAGTTACGTGCACAATGAATACTCTAACGGAAACAAATGGGATTTCTGTGTTTGTCCCCAGCAACTTTTATCAAAATGGATGGTCAGTGTGTTTTTTATTGTCCCAGAGAAGAAAAGGGAGCAGCCAGGGAGAACAGGTTGGTTGCCTGGCTGTGTGCTTCTCTCCCCCACCCAGAGATCTTTCATGCAGAACTTTTCCCTGCAGTCTGGGTGCCAAACTGCTAAGAAATTATGAACTGACATGACCACCACAGAAAAACAACAAACGGACAATGATGTCATGAGGAAGCTTGGAGGAAAAAATGCTGCCGTTCAGCACCCAAACCACCAGGAAACCTGTGAAAGACCTCTTCTCTTTACTGCCCTCACAGGACAATGCATTTTAACTAAACAGCACACTATACCAGACTTCCAATCAAAGCTTCCTCTAAGCTGTGGAGTCTTGTGAGCAAAAATTCTACTTTGTGAGCTCCTGGCCTTAAAGTTGTGAGTGAGCCATTTGGCTACAGCATAAACTAGTTTGCTCTGGAGCCATCCTTCCTGAGCGAAGACAAAAATGTGTGAGCCGGAGGCTAAAAAACTGTGAGCTAGCTCACACTAAGTCAGCTTGGAGGGAACACTGCTTGCAATTCATTTGAATTGGTCTTTGCCCTCCAAAACCTGGCCACCACTCTCTCTCTCTTTAATCATAAAGCAGAACTTTTTCATGTCCTGTGACTGTAATCTGCTCTTGTGTTCTAAAGGTGACACCAAGAACGTAGAAGACTGTCCTCTGAGCTCGTCTATCATCTTTCAACATCCCCGCTTTCAATCCATATTTTTATGCCTCCCAAATAGCAGTTACTTAGTCTAAATGGCTTTAGGCAATATAGAAGAGATGGAAATGGCAAAGACTGCAAAATATATAGTCTGAACTTCCAGGATAAACAGTTGAATTTCTGTCAATGTAGAGTCAGATAACAGGAAGCGATGACTACTAGGTCTGCATCTGATTGTCTTAATTAAGGCTGGTCAAAAAAAGATTTGGTCAATTAACTGAGTCAAGCATTGTCCAAATATCAGTCAAGTCGCATTAACCATATTAGATCAGCACAGACACACAAATCATCTATGGATCTGATAGTTTATGCTAATCTGTAGGGCTGGGCATGAAGCAGGAAAATGCAGTTCTGTTCGTGGCATGCCCAGTTCACGAACCACGAACCATCACATACTTTCAGGGGCTAAACAAACTGGTTCTGTTTGTGAGGTTCATGACTCAGAACAGTCCCCTGCCAAGCTAGAGATACTGAACTCACCAAGGATCCCTGGCTGACTCTCCTCTACCTGCCCTCCAAGTTTGGTGAGGATTGGATTTATGGGGTCTGAGTTACAGCCTCCCAAAGAAGGTGACCCCATGAAAGTGTTTTCTGGGGAAATGACCATACAAAGGTAGTCATTTTGACAGGTGCAAGTTCAGGAGTGTATAGAAGGGATCCCGTGCAAGCTAGAGACATCAAAGTCACAGGGGACCTCCCACCGATGCTCCTCTACATGTCCTCCAAGTTCCAGCCCACCTGTTGCTTTGAAGTTTTGCAAAAATTTAGATTGAGTGCAGACAGCCTGCCTGCCAATGTATCTGTTCATGAACTGCCACGAACAGGTGGAAAATTCATGCCAGTTTACCTATCATGGACTTCACAAACCACGAACCCACCAAAACTGGTCACAACCTTCGTTTCTGAGCAAGTTCATGCCCATCCCTACTAATCAGTTACTGTTAAACAACTGAATCAACTTCTTTATTAAAAGTGTGATTAAACTGAAATTCAACTGTGCCACCTAGACAACAGCATTTGTGATGGCATGGAAGATCTGACAATAGCCAAGTTGGAAGCAGTCATCTGATAAGATCTGATTTGTGAGATAACCAGCAATCCAACACTAGCGGTAGTAACAGATTGTAGTGCAAATGTCTTGGGTGTTTCTTGATGGAAAACCATGTTGCTCCTCTTAAGAGATTGCATAATAAAAGAATAATTTTTAAAAATCAGCATCAGAGTTGTTTTTATGTCTTGGTTGCTAAGAGACAGAAATTCATACAATCCATTTTGAAGCATACCACCATTCTCTCCCCCCCATCTTGATGCTTTGGCACCGTGCAATATGTAACATCAGTAGCCCATGTAGTATATTGGATACAGTGCTGTGCGGAGACTTGTGTCATTGTGTAGGTGTAGCAGAAAACCGAGCAACCTAATCAAAGAAAGGTAGTGTACACAGAAGGTGAGGGATACTAGAAAACAGTGAAAATAGAGTGATTTATTCAGCAGTGAATAAGCCAAGACTGAAGTCACACTGTAGAAAATAGCTGCTGGTTGACAAGACAAACAGCAGGGTACACAATTGACCGTCAACACAGCTTCAGAAGAAAAGTAAAACACTGAAGTAAACCGAGGATGGGAAGCCTGTTAACATTATCGGATTTGCGTCAGCGGCAGTGCACGGGATTTGTGTGATGTCTGCAAAATCAGCAGCAGTTCCTAAAGCCGGAAAATTCATTTTTAGGCATGCTGCAGCACAGACATCCAAAACGGTCACCTGGGGAAAAAGGTCAGCCTGCAGAGTGGACGAAGACAGGTCACAATCGCCTTGGTGCTGGGGTCACGGGAACTCGTAAACATTTTTAAAATGCTGGTGGGTTCAAGCAAGTTATGTCTGCAGCTGGGAGCTTAAAGGGCAGCATGCCCAGTAGAGCTTCTGAGGACCTTGCCTTATTGCAGTCTCCCTGGATAGTCTTAACAACCCTGTTTATGAATCTCAGAGGACCCTCTGGAACTGTAAAAAGAGCTCAATCAGAGGAAGAAATCAGATATGCCGCAGGTTTACACATGGAACCCAGGTTACATTCTTACAATCAACGCAACTACTAATATTGCAGGTGCATTTCAATTCTAAGTTATCTTTGTATCTATGTGGAATACTTCTCCAACTAAGTTGCATTCATGGTCCCTTGGGTTGAAACCTATGTTCCATTTTCTTCCAATTAGTTCTATGATTTTCTTGTTTATTTCTCCACGATGACAATGGGGTGGAGATTGCTGTTAATTTCTTGTACTTATTGTGCCTTGCTGGTGGTTTGTATGGTGAATATGGAAACAGTTCGGGTTCTGGCTCAAAGGTTCGGTTCCTTAATCACTTTAGGACTGTTTTGATGAGTTTTGGAATGGCAACAGTGCGAGGTTTAATCTTCCTAACATAAGGTCAGCATCAGCATACAAAAGATCTGTGGCCAACAAACTGGTACAGAAGTCATGACTGCTTGACACTTAGTGATGCTGCACAAGAACAGAAAGAGTTCTGTGGGTCTGAAAAGTTTATCTGGCCGTGGGAAAGGAGGAGGAAGAGCAAAGCAAGACAGCCAGGCTCTTCCAGTACCCAAATTCTCCCTCCTTGGAAACTCACAATTACATCAAGAGCAAGATCATGCAAGCCACTTAAGAATGACAAGGGCTTTTGTAATTTGGGTTTTGTTTCTCAAAAACGTGCCTGTTAATCAAGATTAAAAAACCCACATCCTCACATCCTGTATTTACTTCTCTGTACATGAAAAGCATAGGGGAAGCAGAAGACATATTATTCAGTCCTTGGACGATATTGTCTGTTAAGAAGAATGCAGCCAAAATTAAGCACTTTTAAGTCATTCTGAATTTTCACAGAAGCGTTAAGCAGATGCTTAAATGTATCCCACTGAAATCAAGGGGATGTAAATAAAAGCTTTGGCTGCTTACATTTCCTGCAATAAACTAGTTCCTCTCAAAGCAGCACTAACACCTCATTCCTTTGCTGGACTGGCACCTGATATTTCATGGCTCATGTTCACTCTTTGATCTCTGTCCCACCGTGGCACCCAAGATCAGGGTGTTCACTCCAGTGAGCTTCCCTTTTCTCTGCTACCATCCTGACAAAGTCAGCATGGCTGGCGTACAGCTTAAGCTTTTCACTAATGTCGATCCATTTCACTTTCCCAGCATCATCCCCGGCTTCCAGGGGCAGGTTATCCATGGTTTCCCCTGGTAAACAAAGAGACATGATCGTCATCAGTTGGAAAATTTTTACCTTTACACCCTCCACTTATTTCATTCATCACGACTTGCACCCATATCTGTTTCCACTACAGA